TTGAACAGTTCTAATGAGCGTTATATCTTTGATAACGGAGTCCTTCTCCTTAGAATGATCCTTTACCGCTGCCACCAGAATATGTTACCCCTCTATGTTGTACTATCCTTATGTTATACAAAAGACCAGCAACAACCGTTCTCAAGTACAAATGTTGAGTATTAACACAAGTTACAACAATGATAACATGTATGGCCTGAGTATCGAGCTTAACAAGTTACTCCTTCCACGGCCACACCAGGACTGACTCTATTTGCTGTGATCTTACAGTTTATCCTAAAGCAATTATAATCTAATTCTGATAGGGAAAGTGTCTTCTACTGATCTACAATTAAACCGTGACCAGTTAATGTCTCCATGGTGGAGAGCATGCCCAGCCAATGTTTCACGGCATGATTCTGACACTAAGGTGACCGCAATTAAACTATCTGTCTGATAAGCCAGCCGGTCACATTAAGATTTAACACAAATTATGTTCTACACTTGAGTGACAAATTTCACTATTAACAGAGACATTTTACACTATACCCCAAAGCAGACTACTAACAAGACTAACCCTATTATAAGTACTCAGGCGCTATCTTGGAGACAAAGTCTCTTAAAAGTTTGTACGAAAGACATGGAGGTGAAAGACATCTTTCCATTCAAAAGAATTAGATACTGTATGTCCAAATAATGAATGAAACTGTAACAATAATTTACCACATCCTTTACAAGCCAGCTCGTTATTATTCACACACGATACAGGGATATTAAATAAAACTGAGGATGACCTGAATAGTCAAGGAATGGAGCAAAACTTGGCCTCTAAATTCTTAAAGTACAGCCACAAATTTTGAATGAGTACTTATCAAAATCCCATCAGGGAATTCAAGAACATACTTTATAACCAATATAGTGTTAGCACAGGCTGCAGACGAAAGGGATATAGAAATAACTTAAGGTTCGTTTATTTTAAGACTGTAAGAGAGCGAGTGAACAAAGTAAGACCACGTGCATCGGGTGAGCTGGCAACTCATTTCAGGTCAACGCAATGTCGAGGACAGTCTTTTATGGCAATGCAGATTGGTATAGTAATTATATAAAGGTATTGTTTCTGATTTAAGTCATGTCATGTGTCATATTTGGAAACTTTTTACCAGTTTATTACATGTGTTAACTGACCATTAAGTAGAACCCTCAGCCTTGTCGTAATATGCAATATATAATTAAATTATTGAATGAAGAATTAAATGGCATCACTGGTGCGTTCTCAGGCCTATGCGTTGTGAACAGCCAATATACGTGTTTTTGGTTGTTGCTACCTGGAGTGGGCTGTTGGAGAATATAAAAGTCAAGGATAGGTTAGAAGGAGATCAGAAGAGAAGGATGACTATAAGGCAATACAGACTTCAGTTGAAGCAAGAATAACGATCAGATGTAACTCTAGAATCTATAAGCGTTCTATACCCTCTACTGAAATTAAAAAAGACATGCTGACATTTCGACTTTCAACATAGTAAGTATGATGTATGGGAGATATACAATAAATATATATATAAAGAAAACGCACACACGCGAAACAAAAATAAAATAGCATATGTAACTGGGAGGTAAATAAAACACACACACGCAAAACAAAAATAGCAAATATGTATGTAATTTACCATCAAACCACTAACATAGGCGTCGTTTGTTTTCTGTAACGAGATCCCGGAAGTATATCAGTCACTTAAGACTTGAATGTTTACGCCAAGTAGGTAACTTAAATCAACAATAAATTAGCATATTGTTACGATTATTTACATGAATATCGTAGTATTGTTCGTCCTTTTCTTTGTTTTGTTTATAAAATAGAATATTCTTTTTCACATGCTATCCCTTTATCTTTACAAACCATTTATCAGTAGGAATATCATATTTCTCAGAAATTCACTTTTGAAACATTTTTGTTTTCAAAGTCATGTCTGCAAACAAATTGTTAAGACAACAATTTTTTAAATGCATACGAGAGAAAGCTTATTCAAAGACTGGCACTATGCCCAAGTACATGCGTCAGGTAGCAAGTTCATACAAAATACGTTACATCGCCCTGGATATAACGTTATAGTGGCTGATGATACATTTATATCCGTCGTATAACACTTATATGACAGGTCTCTAAGTGGATAAACTACCCTAAACATACTGCTATATTCCTCATCCAAAACACTACAGTATAAATGATGATACGATATCCGAATACTCGGCTGATCTTTATTATTTTCATAAGAAATACTAACATAACATACAGAGGCTCACAAATAGAATCAAAGCCATTATCATATACTCAATGGTCGGTGTATGTGGTTAATTTTTTTGTAAACAAATCACAGTGTGGGTCGTATTCATCTAGAATGACGACATGGTTACAGCAATGACGTGTTTTGTCAAATGAAACAGATTTGTTATTGACAGCAGGGGGTTAATGATTTGGTAGGAACTAATTTACCAGGAACTGTATAAATGTTCAGTGTCTTACTGACGATACTGGTCATTTAACAAACAACGCTTTACAAACAAAAACGTGTTTCGTTACAGAGCTGTGATTTATAGTTGTGTAGTCGACTGTACTTTTTACACCAATTAATAACTCTGTGTTTGTTTTTATATACTAATTTCTTGTCCTCATTCACAACAGGTTACGTTACATACAATGAGTTCGGATAATGACGTCATTTTTTCTTGTCTTCAGTCCCAATAGAAAAAAGGAAACCAATTTGAATTGAATTCAAGTACCGATACCAGTTATGTGGTGCAGTGGTAATGCACTCACTTTTCACCAAAGAGACCAGGGTTCGGCTCACCGGTCGGTCATGAAAAGATATGGAGTTACTTGCCCGATTAAATGGGTGTTATCCAAATACTCTGGTTACCTTCCACAGTAAGACCCCGCGCGTGATTCGGGCAAACAAGAGTGATTTAAATCAATTATAAACCTTTTTTGTGTCTGATGTGAAATAATTTATAAAGTTTATATTTTAAGTATACTTATCAGACTTAACATTAATAACTTGTTAATATCAGTACTATTACATTGTGACGGAATAAAAATATTGGAGCAAGTGATAGCCTCGAGATCTCGTTACCATGACATACCCTCAAGAAGACATGAACATGTGTTGCAACATACCTTGTTCAGTTGCAGATACAATTTTAACATGCCTTTAGTATTGCTCCTTTGGGCGTTACAATATTACCATGAACATGCAAATGAATAAATTAAAGACGTTACCGATGCGCTTTCGGCAGATGGCAACACATTTACCGCATGTGTTGGACGATTTGTTATCAAATCGTTTCCTTTCCGGCAGCGAAATGTGGGTAGAAAATTGATCGCCAGTAAAAACAACATCACGGTAAAACGATCTTTTTAAATTATTGCTGAGTGACATGTAACATTCCGTATTTACAAAATATTTATCGAAACCTTACATCGAAACCACATCTGAAGAGATAAAAAGATATTTAAGTCAATTTCGGGTTAATAAGCATGTACACAGCCAGCGTATGTTGCTTTCTAACAAAAATCGAAACCCGATGCTAACATTCTGTATACGTATTTCAAAGTCAGTTACTAAAGGAGAAAACTAACGGGTAGACCAACAATTCTAATCGAAATTGACCAAACTGTAAACAAATATGAAAGATTTACATGGATGTCTTTCAAAAGATGCAATAACTTGCAGTTACCCCGGCATTATGGATTTATTTTAACATCTTTCATTCATCGGCAACACCCACAATGTCAATCCACGTCCAGCGTAATGCAATTTAATTCAAAATGACACCCGTCACTAGCATCGAAAATGTCGATTTTGCCATCAAACAAACAGAACTTCATATTCATACAAAGAAATAAAATATGTCCCCACAAAGTTTAAGTCATCCCTTGTATCAGTATCATTTAGTGCTATAAGTTGTGTGTTAGTTGTCTTGAAGACAGAGATAACAGGGTTTATACTGCTCTTTATCTTAAGTTCTTGGAGTCATTGAACCTCTCAGTGTATTTCTGTTGACAAATTTTGCCAACACGTTAGCCCCTTAGCATCACTTGCCGACGACGTCTAGACTGGTGTTGTACAACTGATTTGGCTGTACTGTATCTAATTTAGAAGTTGTATTGAACTGTTCTGTTTTTGTACAAACCATTGTTCCATTATGTGTGTTATAACTGCTTGTTAGAAGTGCGGCCATTTAAAATTCAATGAATATATCGATTTCGTCTTCAGTGTGATTTATTATTGTTCACAACTACATACTTTCAGATCGCCGTAAACCTTAGAAAGATGATCTTACAACAGAAGCCTGATGAAGGTGTTCTTTCAATTAGAAAGTGGTGTTTAATGTATAGAGTGAAAACATGCGAATATTGATTGATGATATTTTTCAAGGGAGATCACCCATCGATTGCTCTTTTGAGTTCTTAGTCCAAAATCCGCACTCCGTTAAATCCGTTTCTTCAGTAGATAGTACCAAAATTAGACCTACCCTAATTTCATAGTTCCATGGTAGTCCGTGGTAGTTTAACGTAATTAACATTTCCTGAAATATTTAATATTTACAGCTTTAAAAATATGGTACCAGATTTTTCTTTTAATAAACTGAAGGTATTCTTTTAAAAAAACTTATTGAGAAACTAACGCCAAACAGACGGATTAACAGTAGATTTTCCATGATATATATATACAACAGTTATCCCCCCTAGACTGCACGTTTTATTTCAAGCTAAAGCGTGTATGTTTACATATGATTAAAAGCTCGCGTAATCATACAATCAGACTAGACTCTTAATATTTATAGAATGGTTTTATTGTTATGGTAACTCAAATTACTGATTTAAACAGCAATAAAATGCACCAACATGAATTCGTGAAGCGAGTAACATACCTCTGATGCGCTATTGTTGTCTTCAATTTGTCTCGCGCAGATATTATTACGCCCAAAATGGCGTCTCCCATGGATTTCTCATGCTGGAATTTGCATTGTTTTTGATTATTATTATAACTTATTTATGAATAAACAGCAATTGCTAAAACGCCGTTCATTACTAAAGAACGCGATTTCTCCTTTACGTGACAAGGTAAGTGTTTACCACTTGCATTTGAAAGTTGTGTACCTGGAAGTGAAAGTGGTCAAATTTGCAATTTCGGTCCCTTTGCTGAACAAGCCGAATTGGTATTCGGCGATAATCATATTGCCAGATTCTTTCCATACTCAACACTATTCTCAGATTAACACCATTAAAATATGTCGACATTGCCTGGCCATTCACCAGGTATATTTAAAATTTTATTGAAATTTAAATATACAAATATGTATAAGATGAATCCTGGTGAGCTTATAGTTACCGGTTTGTTGTTGATGAATATCGTCGTGTTGTTGATAAACTCCAAATGGATACAAGAAGGTCGATAAAATATCAGATTATTTTGATATGACACGACCAGCTGCGAAAACAAACTCTTACTATCACATACCAGACTAGCGTTAGTACAATAACAGTGATTATATGCATAGTTTTTATTAATAGTATAATATAGTATTTCATTTTATTCAGAAACCGTTTTTGCGATATATATGGATGTGTATCAATACTTGTATTTCAGGTTATTCGCTTGCCTGCCATTAATATTCTTATGATAGCATCCATAAATTATCTGATTCCTACTCCTTGAATCTTTGATAGTGGTGTCACTCATAATAACCATAGGATTTTTGTTTAAACGTTTACATCTCGGTTATTTCTATTGATAAAAAGTGTTTCACCCAGGAGAGCAGGTGTTCTGACGATGTGACACAGGTATATGTATCATCCCATTATGAAATTACAACAATTATTGTAAGGAATATGTGATAACAATATGATGTTTTGTGAATTCTAGAATTGATGAAGACTACCAGACTGTGAGATGTATGCACTTTACAAACAGACTCACCCTCCCACAGGGATAGAACATTGTGTCTACTGTAACTTTTTCAACACATCTGAAAGAAATCTTGTCATTGCTGCAGTGAACCAGCTGGATGTTTACAGACTTATTCCAGAGATTGATGTAAGTTTGTAAACAAAACAAAAACAAAAAAACAGGACTGAAAATTAAAAAAAAAACTTTAATGGATGATTCAAACTGCTGAAGTCATAGCTAGGTGAATCTCTTAAACTTTTAAAGGAAATAAGGTATTTCAGAAAGAGGTAACACATGTTTTCTTACTTGTTCGCAATGAAGAAATTAAAATTTCAAATTATTTGAATTTTCTTAATTTCTAATGTCTATGATATATTTTATATTATATTAGTTGCTGGAACATATGGTGTAAGTATTCGCCAACATTCACCTCAGCTTTCTAAATCACATGTAACTAAGTTTGTTTGCATTTGTAATTGCTTTATTCAAATATCTGGTGTTTTGCTGAAAATAAAAAATGAGATGGAATTCAGTGTTGCTCGTACTTCTTACTTTCCATTTATATAATTTAATATGTGGACATGTTTTGACCGTGGTGTTGCCATGAAGACAAATTTATATACTTTGTAATATTCTGAATATGTTATATTTGATTTTGATTTCAGGATGATGAAAATCCTGACAAATGGACAGGTAGGTGAACCCATCCATTATATATTTGGCTTTGAGAGACATCAGCTTTATTTTTATCATTACTTCACAAGATGTATTCAATAATTTGTTCATTCATTTAAGGGAGAAAACCTGATTCATAGAAAGAGTTTGAAAACAAATATATAAATGAATTGATTTAGTATGACATAAACTGATAAACACTAGCTGCAGTATACTGCCAGGCCAGACGGAATTTCTTTTTAGCTGGATCATTTGAGCATAATGCTAGTGCGCTGGAGGTCCGGGTTTAAGTCCTAGTCTTTAAAATAAATAATGGCCCCAGTTAAAGGTTTATATGACAAAACTATAAGAAAAGGAAAGCTTAGAAATAATGTCAGTATGATAACATTTCTTATGATTTTACTTTCCTTCAGAAAGACAAAAGGTCAGGAATAGGACTACAGATGAGATAAGCTGTTATCGTTATATTTTTATAAAAATGAAAGTAGTTGACATATTGGAGTTGCTAGGAAGCACTGGTACTCTCAGCCCAAGTTCAATACATAATACTAATTATTGAATGGAAATAACATTATTTTATTATACAGAGAGCAAGAGAAAGCAGAAGCTGGAGAGCGTGGCAACATTCAGCCTGTTCGGAAATATTATGTCAATGCAGTTTGTCAAACTTCCAGGGGCACATCGAGATGCTCTGCTTCTCAGCTTCATGGATGCAAAGGTACAACATCAATAAAAAAAATAATTAAAAACAGTTTAATGTAACAATGTGTACAAGAAGTACCATTTACCATATTCCTGTTATTCCAATAATTAGTTATAATTATTAACCTATCTACTGTTAATCCTATTTCGAAAAACAGTCATCAAGTGACAACTGTGTATATATAGAGGGAAAATTCAAATAATTGGATAGGTGCTTTAAAGATCAATAATGATACTGTTAACCATAATAGATTTCCTATTGTGAAATCATGTCTCATCACAACTTAACTGTAAAATTTGATTAATGCCTTGTGTGTGTATTTAAGCTGTCGGTAGTGGAGTATGACCCTGGTACACACGACCTCCAAACAACCTCCCTCCACTACTTTGAGGAATCTATCATGAAGGTAGGTCATTACTCACATAAAATATCTCCCTATTTGTCTGTGATTATTGTGTGTTCCAATTGAGTCACTGATAACTTTTCAACTTTAAAGAATGTGTATATTGTCAGCATGTTGATTTGTTTTCTTGTCTTGACTTTGGGAGTACTGTATCAATATATCAGATTTGTTTTCTGGACATGATTGAGATAGATATAATTAAGCTGTGTTCATGTATTTGTCTACACAAACGTTTGATGTTGATAATAATTAGAAGAGTAAATATCTATGCAGATATATTTGAACTATTGATAATTGTGAAATGGTTCTTCATGTTAGCTACTCATCAGTGGCCACTAAAGTTTTGTTACATTCTTGTAGGATGGTTTCTCTACCAACTATGATATACCAACAATTCGTGTAGATCCTGATGGTCGATGTGCAGCCATGTTGATATATGGAAATCGACTGGTAATTCTGCCTTTCAGAAGGGATGCCTTGATGGAGGAAACTGAAAATGTAGTTGGTGCAAGGTATTAAGTTATACCAGAGGCTCGCAAACCATATCATAATTCTCAATAAAAGGACACATTTTATGAAAGTTGTTTTTCAACATCCAAACTAATTAATTGGATGTATTTTATTGAAAAGTTTTTTTTAACATATTTAAATTTTTTTGACAGAAATTATTAGATAACTTTACTTTTTCATCGAAATTTTATTTTAATAAGTTAAAGAGGAGATTTGAATTGAGTTTCAATTTTAAAAAAAAATAGAATTTGGTGCAAATTACTTAAATGTATAAAAGAAGTCTAGAAAATGAACTAGTTCACTTTGAATGCACCGTTCTATCTTTGTCATTTTTACATCAAAGGGATAAATTTCAAAGTCCTAAAAATATCTTTGTCATTTTTACATCAAAGGGATAAATTTCAAAGTCCTAAAAATTTGTCTTTGTTTCTAGTAAATCCCCCATCATGTCTTCATACATCATTGACCTACGACAATTTGATGAGAAGATACCAAATGTGAAGGACTTCCAATTTCTCCATGGTTACTATGAGCCTACTGTTTTCATTTTGTATGAACCCTTGCAGACATGGACTGGGTAAGTAAACAGGAATTTTGTATAATGATGAATCTGAAGAATGCCTGATCTGTACCGTTGAGAATATATTAGTAAGTGTACCATACCAGATATTCATTTTATTTTGTTTTTGGATTACAGACGTACAGCGGTCCGAGCTGACAGCTGTAGCATCGTAGCCATCTCATTGAACATACAGGAGCGAGTACATCCCATCATCTGGTCGCTGGCCAGTCTACCCTTTGACTGTCATCATGTCATGCCTGTTCCTCGACCCATTGGAGGAGTATTGGTGATGGCTGTCAACTCTCTCTTGTATCTCAACCAGAGCGTTCCTCCATATGGAGTGGCCCTTAACAGTATTGCACACTCCAGTACAGCATTCCCTCTCCGTAAGTAAAATTTATACAGTTCTGAAAAATGTTTACCCTGTATTTGAGGCAGCTTTACAAATGAAGATTCCAAGGCATTTCTGTTCTTCAAAGGGAATTATCTCATAATCCGGGTCATCTTAGACCTCAGAACAAAGATGTAGCATTGAAAAAATATGTGTCCATCCAACATCCTTCCACATTACCATTTCCACACAATAATTTTAATTCCCATGGACTTAGATGAAAGTCAAACTTCACCCACTGCTTTCTTACTAAGGGTGCTTGCTTTTGATTGGGATTACAAAAGGTCAAATGTCCTTGGTACTATATATGGACAATTTCTTTCTGCATTGTAACTTGAAATCCCTTAGACATCAAACTAAAACTTCACACACAACTTTCTGAAAGCAACTGTGCTTGACAGTTTTGGATTTTTTATCAAGTTAAAATTTCAAATTTAGGTCAAGATCACTGTAACTATGCACAGAATATTTGTTTTGACACAATGACTCAAGTTTTGCTCAATAACTCAACTTCTCTTGGACTACGCATTCTCAAAAATTATGAAACAGTCTCTGGACAATCAACCAATCAGTGGAATTAGTGTCTTCCAGCGATAACTTATTAATAAAGGGTTGAATTGATGATGAATCCATGTGGTAGGACTTTATAAGGGAGGTATCAGATGATGGTAAGGTCAGCAATCTTACTATTTAGGTTTAGTTTTGGATGTTCTATAGAAATGCAAACTTTGATGAGGGTCTAGGTTGGGTATATTGGTGTTTATGCATCTGTCTATCTCTCCATAATTTTGGTTTCTCGAGTATCTCTAGGATTCCAAAAGTGTAAAATTCTTATATATTCTGTTATTTTAAAATCTAGTTTAAAGATGCTTACAACAGGAAAATTTCCTGGGATGTGTGATGCATTCATGTCAGACCTAGCAATTCAGTCTTATATGATTATCAGGTATGAATATCAACTGTACCATTCTTTATCATACACTTACATACATTTTTTTGAAGTACTGTTTGTATGTGTACAGGTTCACAGGAGGGAGTAAGGATTACACTGGACTGTGCTGAAGCTGCCTTCATGTCCTATGATCGACTCATTCTTTCTTTAAAGGGAGGTGAATTGTAAGTTCAGTGTTCATTTTAAGTTCCCTTCCAAGTGAGATGTAAAGTGAATTCAAGACAATAGACATCTTAAAGCAACTTTTTCTTTAGGAGAGGTTTAGGATAAGAATTTATTAAGTATAACATCTATATTTCACACATGTTTTGACCTATCAGCTTTCGAACGACTGTGGTCACTTTATTGCCTTGTATTTAGTCCTTTTCTTCAAGGGAGATGAATTTTCAATTAACTTGTGTCATTTTAAGGGAGTTAACTCTAAGATGTTGGTTTGTTAAATCCAGTCTCAAGAGAGGTAACTGCATTATACAAGCAGCGTTAGTCTTCTCCTTGAGGAAGAAGAATTATAAAACCTGTGCTTAGTTACCCTGCTGTTTGGCAATCCTATCCTCCAAGGATGGTAACTGCATTCTCTCAAGGCAGTTAACCATGATTTCTGATTATCCTTTCCTTAAGGGGGATATTTGCTTATTCCTTAAGGGAAGAAATTCCTCAAGGGAAGAAGAATTATAAAACCTGTGCTTAGTTACCCTGCTGTTTGGTGTTTATTATAAGTTTGATGTTTTACTTGGTGTTGTATGTTGGTTGGAACAGGTATGTACTGACTTTGGTGGTTGATGGGATGAGAAGTGTGAGGAGCTTTCACTTTGACAAAGCAGCAGCCAGTGTCCTTACCACCTGTGTATGTACCTGTATACTTTTTAGTAGAACAACAAGTTATCTTGTAATATAGCTTAATCTTCAAAAGTGAAGAAGTTCTTTTTATCAAACAAAACAAACAGAAAATTTTACTGTTGGCCTTTGATTTTTTATACATTAAAGAAAATATTACTTTTGCTTTTTATTACAATCCTGTGAATGAAAGCAGTTCTGCTGATATTTCACTTATTAAATGATAATCTCATTATAATCATATTCTACATTTTAAACATTTCATGCTGATTAAAATCTCAACAAGATTTAATTTGACAAAATCGATACAAAATCAAAACGAGAGTTCATCGATCTTATCAAAGTGAATCATCTTAAGAAAATTCGTTTTAAAACTGACCACAATTTGACTGAGAGTTGATCACTGAATCTCCTATGAACAGATGTGTGTGTTGGATGATGGCTACTTGTTGCTGGGCTCTCGTCTGGGGAACTCTCTACTACTGCGTTACACAGAGAAGGTGGCTGATGCAGACCATACAAATGGCGAGAACAAGGTCAGACACGGGAAAATATGTCTACAGAGAAACGTGTATCGCAAGTAGTGTTTTGGTTTTAGATGGAGATTTATAAACAGTCCATGTTCAGCATTTGTTAATGTCTTATAAACTCACTAGAATTTCATTGTGAATTGAAAGTGTTTTTATTAGTTATTAAACAAACGATAAGATTCTTAAATGTTATTAATGAAGTGACTGATCTTCAAAAAATTTCATTCCTGGCATTGTATTTTTTTCTAGAATGAGCCTCCGACAAAGAAAAAGAAGACAGATGGAACAACAGATATGGGTATATATAACATAAATTAAAAAAATCATATTAGTTTTTCTACAAATCTGGTGATGAGTTCTGAGTTGTTACAAATCATGCAAGCAGAATGTTGGGATCCTTTTGGAAGTTGTTGCTGCCAACTCTGGTAGTCTTTTTGTGAATTGATGAGAAGAAAGTAGAATACTATTCACTGGTAGAATGAATTTCATAATTCACTGCTTTGATATTTTTTTTCTGACCAAGCTATAAAACATATGAATGAAATGTCATTCATACAGTATTGATACATTTTTTAATTAAAAATTGTGATCATGAGAACTTAAAACAAGAATGAAGGGGTCAAACATAAGGCTGAGTGTTTTTCAACACAATTTCAGTGCTAAATCATACAATATCTTAAAAACTTATAGCTTAAAATTACAAAACTTTATTTATGAATATTTTATCATCCCTCACTTATGGATTTGTTGCTGCAACACATATATTTGGTTATTAAGAACTTTTGTAGATAAAATATAACTCCAGTATATACATTTACTACAAATCATAAAATCAATGTTTTACAAAATTATCATTTCATAGACATTCAGGCCTTCTTGATGGATATTTAAACCTCAGAAGTATCCATTTTCATTACATGTCTCTTCAATAATTCATACATGCACCACTACATAAAGATGTAGTTTGTGGAATTTTTAACCATTGATTTATGTTTGGCTAGCCTCAGATGTGACCCAGGTCGAGAACTTGTATGACCTTGAGGTGTATGGTAGTGCAGAGAACCCATCTGGAACCATGATCACCAGTTACTCATTTGAGGTAAGTGTAGAGGTTCTTAAATATCACATTTATTTTGCAATAAATTGATGTTTCATTCAGTAGCATTCAAAGATCAAAACTGTACACACATATGTATACATTAAACAATCTGTTATATATCAGGTGTGTGATAACATTTGGAACATTGCCCCCTGTGGGCAGTGTGTCATGGGAGAACCAGCCTTCTTGTCTGAAGAGTTCGCAGGCAATCCTGACCCCGACCTTGAACTTGTGACTACGTCCGGATATGGGAAAAATGGAGCTCTGTCTGTTCTTCAGGTAAAAAGGAGATGTCATTAAAGTTGTAAAACAACACAAATTAATATTTTTTTTCTTTTCATATTTCATTATGTTTACTTATTGTCCTATCTATATCATAGTCATATCTATATAATTTTCAAACAAATATATCATGTTCTAAACAGTGGCTGAGAGAGTTTTGGAATGATATTGTAATTGGTCTCAAAGTACAAGAGAGTGAAAGGAATTAAGATTAGACTGTATTGTATCTTTTCCATCAATGTTGATATTTATGTTTGCATTACATACACCAGAAACATGATAAACTAGTCCTTATGAAATGTTAAATCAGGTGTAGGTATGTTGAAAGTGTGATCAGACATTTTGTAGAATTCTTCACATGCTCAGTATGGAATTAAAATGATTAATTAAATAAAACAAAATCCACCACCTAGAGATTTAAAATACCAATATAAAACAAAAACTGATAGACCACATGGTTCTATTTTCCATCATCTCATGAACTTTCATCAGATTCAGTTCGTACTTACCACTATATTATTGAACAATCAATTACTACAACTTCATAGAATTTGATGGTTGTTGATCAAGGTTAATAGGTCAAAGGTCACACTTGACTACTTTCTATTTTTCAAGAGATATTACAGGTACAATATTTTCTGATTACAGTATAAATTAGTTAGCCCTTCTCTAATTATTTTTATAATTTCTGCAGCGGAGCATCCGACCCCAAGTTGTTACAACATTTGAGCTGCCAGGCTGTGTGAATATGTGGACAGTGAAGGGAACCCTTCCAACTGATACACCACTTAAGGTATATGTCAGGTCATGGTGATCAGGACGTAATGCCTGACATTAAACTTACACACAAATCAACACAACTTGATCTCAGTTTATCATTTCAACACATATTGAAATTCGTGTATGAAATTTTTAGGAGTTGATTGAAAAGAAATGATTTTTAAAGTTTGCACAAGCAGTGTGTTTTCTTGTCATACCTGTGAGAAAAATCGGTTGTGTTCTAATTTGATTCTCTCAAACATACTAAAATATTTACCATTGAAAATTCAAACTCTTGACTGGGATTTTGCCCACCTTACTACACAATTTATTTGAGTAAATATACAATGAATTTGGCTGCAATTTGAAAAAAAGTCCTTTCTCGAAAAAGGTACCCTGAAAGTCTAACTTTCCTCTCCCAAATGAATTTGTATGCACACCTTGTATGCAGGATGTCCAACATCTGGTTTGAATGGTTACTGACATAGTAAGACAAAGGAGACAAAACAGTCATCATTTAATTGTATAAATGGTGGATGGGAAATCCAGACTGATGGAAGACTAGGAGAACAGACACGTGTCGAATTCAACTTGTCTATTGTGCTAGTAGCAGTGTGTGCAAAACATGCAACAGACTTTCCCATCCACTTGTTTACATATCGTTGATAAATTACATATATCAAAACTATCCATTGTTAAACTCATAAGAATTTGCTTTCAATTAATTATCTCGAGGTAAAAAAACCTGTAATTGAACATCCATATTAAATAAAAATTATTGATGTGTTATCTTGTGTTTGTACAGACACCAGCTGCTGACGAGGAGGAGAAAGAGGATAAGGAAGAGACAAAGGAAGACAAGGACGAGATAGAGAATGGTCATGCCTTCCTCATCCTCAGTCGTACAGACTCCAGTATGGTGAGGACATGGTTATCACTAAAACAAATTGTCAGTTATATAATATAGATGTGTCGATAAAATATATACAAATATATCATATTTTATATAAATATTGATGTATTTGTTTGTCAAGTGATTAATTTTCTCTGTATATACGATAAACAAAGTTTTTATCTTTTTAAATTATATATATATATATAGCCAGCTTTCTATTCCTTATGTTCAAAGTGAATTCCACTAACTGATAGAGACATAATCTTAGTCCTTTGTTAAGACGTGTATATCATATTGATCACTATATATTGTGTGTACTGGTTGTGGTATTATCAGGAAGATAATTTAAAACTAAAATGGTATGTTTTTTATGTTGTAGATCCTTCAGACTGGTCAGGAAATCATGGAGCTTGATCATAGTGGTTTTAGTACACAGACAGCCACCATCTTTGCTGGCAACATCGGAAATGATAAGTACATCATCCAAGTGTCCGCAACAGGCGTGCGATTACTGGAGGGAGGTTAGTCCTAGAATAAAAACTCCTGGTCATGGGAGATAAGTCCTAAAATATATAGACTCTTGGCTGAGGGAGGTTACCAAAGTAGTCTTAAAACATAGGCACCTGTCAGAGGGAGGTAACCAAAGTAGTCCTAGAACATAGGCATTTGGTTGTTAGTGGTACATCTTTAAATGTAGATTCTTGATGTTGTAGGTGTTATACTCCTGTATATTTGTGTTTTACAGTAAAACAGATCCAACATATCCCTGTAGACATTGGCTCACCTCTTGTCCACTGCTCACTAGCTGACCCCTATGTACTACTTATGGCAAGTTCAGGTCAGATTGCAATGCTGACCATGAAGGAGGACATCAATGGTGTTCGTCTGGTCACTACTCGGCCTTCAGTATCACAGGTACGTGTATTTATAGAATCTTACTTTGAGTGTAAGAGTTTGTCTGGTCACTACTCGGCCTTCAGTATCACAGGTACATGTATTTATAGAATCTTACTCTGAGTGTAAGAGTGCGTCTGGTCACTACTTGGCCTTCAGTATCACAGGTATTTATAAAATCTTACTTTGAGTGTAAGAGTTCGTCTGGTCTCTACACGGCCTTCAGTATCACAGGTATGTGTATTTATAGAATCTTACTTTGAGTGTAAGAGTTCGTCTGGTCTCTACACGGCCTTCAGTATCACAGGTATGTGTATTTATAGAATCTTACTTTGAGTGTAAGAGTTCGTCTGGTCACTACTCGGCCTTCAGTATCACAGGTACATGTATTTATAGAATCTTACTTTGAGTGTAAGAGTTCGTCTGGTCTCTACACGGCCTTCAGTATCACAGGTATGTGTATTTATAGAATCTTACTTTGAGTGTAAGAGTTCGTCTGGTCACTACTCAGCCTTCAGTATTACAGGTATTTATAAAATCTTACTTTGAGTGTAAGAGTTCGTCTGGTCACTACTCGGCCTTCAGTATCACAGGTACATGTATTTATAGAATCTTACTTTGAGTGTAAGAGTTCGTCTGGTCACTACTCGGCCTTCAGTATCACAGGTACATGTATTTATAGAATCTTACTTTGAGTGTAAGAGTTTGTCTGGTCACTACTCAGCCTTCAGTATTACAGGTATTTATAAAATCTTACTTTGAGTGTAAGAGTGCGTCTGGTCACTACTCGGCCTTCAGTATCACAGGTTTGTATAAAAAGAGCATGAAGTTTTTTCAGTTACATTTTGTAAGATTGATTTTAATCAGTTTGATTTAAAGTTTTAGACTTCAGACTGTAATTACAAGCATCAATATTGATATTCATAATAGCAGCTGATACTAATATTGATGCATTTTCTAGATATCTTTTTTAACCTTGGAAACATTGTTCTATAAACATGGATAGCTTAAAATAATTCATCATATTATTATTTACTCTGTCATTAAAGTTTATGTTCTCTATGGCATAAAACAATTATTCTTAGTCTAGAACAGAGAGTGAAAGCTTAGAAAATTAATGGTTTTGGATAATTTTATATTTAAATCATCAATATTTTTGCTGCAATATATTGATCAATATGTCTTCTGAGAATGGCAAAATCTGTGTTTCACACATTGCTGTACACAGTGAGGACAAGTAAGTCTTGTTTTGAAAAATGTAATAACTGACGTATAAAGTTCATGATATGTTTGGAAGTAGACCAAAAATGATTGTTAATTGATTTTTTGTTCCAGCATTCCCGACTCCTGACCCTGTGTTTATATAAAGATCTGAGTGGAATGTTTACTACCATGACAACACAGTTCCAGGAGGAAGTGGAGACAACTACAGATACCAAAGAGATGAAACCATCCACAGAGAAGGCTTTTACACTGGACACAGAGTAAGGATAGGCAATAATGGAATATACTTTAGTCAGTGGTAGTGTCAAGGTCACTTATACTGTTAAGGTCACTGATAGTGTCAAGGTCACTGATAGTATCAAGGTCACTGTCAAGGTCACTGATAGTGTCAAGGTCATAATTCAAAGTTTGCAATATCAGTATGGCTGAGATTCACAATGTAGGTTTCTGTTTGGCTGGTGGTGTCTGTATGTTTTCACGATTTTCATTGCTGTGATTTTGTAGAATTTAGTTGTGATTTTTTAGAATAAAGTTGTGTTTTGTAGAATAAAGTTGTGTTTTTGTAGAATTTAGCTGTAGTTTTGTTGGAATTATCATATTCTTAATACTTGTAAATCACTTCTTTTTCTGTCATTATTTAGTAATATTGATGATGAAGATGAACTTCTCTATGGAGAGACTGACACGTCTGTGTTTACATCATCGTTTGATATCAGTATGCGGTCCGAGTCTGAAGGGTAAGAATGTAAAATCAGTTTGTGTTAGACGGAAATATTCACAAATTTCATATAAAATGTTGGAAAATTTGTGAAAGAAATATGATCTGATCAAAAATATTTACTCTTAAATTTTAGCCCCTGTTTGTGGTTTAACTATAACTGTTCAATACTCCACTTCTTATCTTCTTTATATACTATCATCATTATTTTTTACCTTACATACATTACTTTCATAATCTAATTTCACTACTACTGAAAATAGTTCTTAAGAACTTATATAAAATCTCTATAGGTGAAATATAAATTAATGTATATAAATGGTATGCTTACAGTCCAAAGAGGGAAGCCAAGAGCAGTGCTATCAGTCCCACCTACTGGGCACTCATGTGTCGGGAAAATGGCGTATTAGAGGTGAGTATCCACTACACTCAAAGCACTGATTAACATTGTATGTAGGAAGTTTTAGGCATTTTGCTCAACAGCTGTTTTGATAGATTTTATTTTAGTTAGGAAGCAGTTAACAACTTTGGTGGAAACAGTTTCTTTATAATGGTTTTTGTAATATAGAAATTCAGAAAAAAATGTCATGGATAGAAAATCTTTGCCAGTATAATATGTTAAGTTTGTTAAATTGAATGATGATTACCTGTGTTAATTACAACTTCTTGGAGGTGCATTTTTCAGTCAGGATATTTATGTTTGTAACAGAGGTCATTATTTATTTCAATGTCTCCGCTAGGATTCGAACCTGAGACCTCTGGAAATACTAGTCTAACACTCAACAGATTGAGCTAAAGAAAAGTTCTCTCTACCCGAGCGATATATTGCAGCTAGTTTTTACCAGGGTTACATATTCCCCCTCGCGTCCTCAAGTTTCCATGGGGTTACAGTGATTCTTATGAAAGTAACTCTACATATTATTCCTGAGTCCCTACATGGGCACCAATGTAATAGAGGTTATTATTTATTTCAATGTCTCTGTGAGGATTGGAACCTAGAACCTCTGGTGTACTAGTCTGACGCTCAGCCCATCGAGCTAATGAGAAGTTCTCTCTAGCCAAGCAGTTGTTATGGCTAGTATTAACTAGGTTTACACGTAGCTTGCCGAAAAACATATTTACTTTGTTATAAAAATGGAGATTTCTGTTACAGATATACAGTGTACCAGATTTTAAGATGAGCTACTATGTCAAAAACTTTCCAATGGGTCAGAAGATCTTAGTAGACAGTGTTCAGATGACTGATAAAGTCAGGTAAGTGTCATTACTGGACAGGTAGCCAGTTTTGTTTGCTTCTCAGTAGTGAACTGAAGGAAATGATTCCAAATATTGAAAATATTAAAATTTACAGGACCACATTGATCGGAAAATATAGTGTATTGTTATGCCTTGTGCCTATAACAATTGAATTAAATCAACAATATAAATGATGAAGTTAAGTTCCTGTGAATATAATTTTGATTCCTGTGTCGCATAGATGTGTATGGATATGCCTTCTTTTATGGTGGGATATATTAGTGGAAATTTGATGTCAGACAAACAGGCAGGTACGTCCACTATATATGTAAATTTGATATCTAACAGACAATAGGCAGGTAGGTCCACTATATGCATAAATTTGATATCTAACAGACAGTAGACAGGTACGTCCACTACGTGTATATACATAAATTTGATGTCTAACAGACAGTAGACAGGTACGTCCACTATATACATAAATTTGATATCTAACAGACAGTAGGCAGGTAGGTCCACTATATATGTAAATTTGATATCTAACAGACAGTAGACAGGTACGTCCACTACGTGTATATACATAAATTTGATATCTAACAGACAGTAGGCAGGTACGTCCACTATATACATAAATTTGATATCTAACAGACAGTAGGCAGGTACGTCCACTATATACATAAATTTGATATCTAACAGACAGTAGACAGGTACGTCACTACTATATACATAAATTTGATATCTAACAGACAGTAGGCAGGTAGGTCCACTATATACATAAATTTGATATCTAACAGACAGTAGACAGGTACGTCCACTATATACATAAATTTGATATCTAACAGACAGTAGACAGGTACGTCCACTATATACATAAATTTGATATCTAACAGACAGTAGACAGGTAGGTCCACTATATACATAAATTTGATATCTAACAGACAGTAGACAGGTAGGTCCACTATATATGTTGTTTATTTTTATGAATCTTTGTAAACTACAGAAACCAGCAATCACTATAACATCAACTGATAGAACATTTTATGTAAATACAGTTTTGATGTTTGAAAGACTGATAGGATTTCCTTAAGATCATCAATGTATACTCCTGTTTCCTTCATACAAGGTTATATTTATGGTTTTTTTGTCTCTTTAGCACCAGTGGTATGGGCATGCCGGGTGGCGAACGCCAGGAGAAAATTGTGGGAGACATGCCAAACATTAAGGAGCTGTTAATGGTTGGCCTAGGATATCGTAACTCTAGATCTTTCCTGTTTGTGAGTAAATTGTCACATACACATTGATCTAAGAATTATCACTGAAGCAGGGATATTTATGTTTATAGTTAATTCTAAATTTATTTTTCTTTTAAGAGCTCCGCTAATTATTGCCTCTGTTTATGTCAGAAAATGTCACGGTTATTTTTTTTTATCTATTTTCCCCATAAGTTAAAATAGTCAGACTTACCTAAATAAAGATACATTTTATCATACATAGACACATGATTAATTGTAAAGCAGTTTATAAGAGATTTGAGGTAGTAACTAGGATTTTATGAGACAGTATTAAAGTGTAAATTTGTCATAATGACTTTCTTTTTTCTTTTTCTGTCGTATTGATTCATAGTATATATCACATCTACTAAGTTTTGAATTTCAATATCACAAGGGCAGCATCACATAAACAACAAGTGTAGCTTGAACCAAATTGAATTATTTAGGAAAAAATTCCATACATAGTTATTTCTGGTTAAATGAATCCTTACAGGTACTTCATTGTTTTGTGGTGAGCTTGGACAAAGTGTTTGTTTTATTCTTGATTAAGATAAGAAATAAAGCAAGAAATTTTGTACTCATGTTCAGTATTATGTTCAACTTAACCATTATTGAGTATTAAGAAAAAAATTTGCTAAACCGTATTCCTCACTACTTTTTGTTGCATAGGCTCGAGTGGATGATGAGTTTTACATCTACGAAGCATTTCCTTTCCATCAAACGCCTGTGGAGAGTCATTTGAAGCTGCGGTTTAAGAAAGTTCAACACAATGTGATTCTACGAGAGAGAAGGACAGCAAAGTACAAACGAAAAATGGATCCAGAAGATGGAGAGGAATCTCTACAAACCACAGACACTACCATGCTTCATTATTTCAGTGATCTGGCAGGCTACAATGGGGTAAGTGAGAGTATACCTGTTCTCTGGTCAATAGACTTTGAAAGTAACATGGAAAAATATGGAGATTTCTCTTAATGTTCAAGCTGGCACTTCAGAGGCTAAAATAATTCTTGTTTATGTATATTACAGATCTCCTAGATAGCTTAATTTTTAGTTGCAGATATTGTGCCTTGCTATTAAATGGCTATGTACAGATGATATCAGATATTGACAGATACTATTTTTAGCTCATCATCATCAGATGGTGGGCTATAAAAAATAATTACCCTATGTCCTTGGTCTGTCTTATGTTCAAAAACAAGGTTTGTTATCGTTTTTCTTTGAGAAGTTCTGGATCGATCTTTCTCAAATTTCATGTGTTATTTTCCTTTGGTCCCTAGTCATGCCCATTTGAATATTGGACTGATCAGAAAAACAAAATAGCAGAGAGGCAATCAACTTTGGCTATTACAGATCGTTATTGCGATTTCTTGAGAAGAGTTTTCAACTTTCCGTATATTTATGAGCATGAACAGGGGAAAGAAGAGAAAAGAAAGGGATAGATTCAAGTTCTAAATTACGAATGAAAATCAAATGATGGTTGGTGCCAAGAGATCTCTGGGATCTCTTGTTCATGAAGTGTTTTATAATCTACCTTTGGTATTTTATGTAAACACATACAAGTAGATACTTCCCATGATGATCTAGGGCAAAAATTTGGTCTGACCTTGTATTTAGTGATCTGTATAAACAGTGTTTCATACTTACCTCCAATTTTATGAAAATCTTAATTGAAACTTTCTTTGCTTGACATAATATACAAAATTTTCTCAGGTTATCTCATTTTCTAGCACAGCGGATTGCATTACAACTAATCTGTGTTTGTATCTATGGATATCTGTAGCAGATCTGTGCCAATACATGTGCTTTACAGCACTAACTGTGACTGTTGCAGGTTGCTAGTGTTTACCTAGCCCGTTGTTTATTACATTGTATACATAAATCTGTTGTAGGTATTCATTTGTGGAGCTTACCCACACTGGATATTTATGACAACCCGAGGCTGTCTTCGTATACATCCAATGGGAATTGATGGCAGGGTCACTTGTTTTTCACCTTTCCATAATGTTAACTGTCCAAAAGGCTTCCTCTACTTCAATGGGCTGGTAAGTTTATCTTGAAAATATGATGGTGTATGTGTTGTATTAATAAACTTTGCTGTTATTTGTGAAAAATTATCATAAATATATATATATATTTCCTTTTTGTCATTACTTTTGACAGGGAGAGCTGAGAATCAGTGTACTACCCACTCATTTGACGTACGATTCTCCATGGCCCGTGAGGAAAGTGCCACTACGCTGTACTCCCCATTTCATAGCTTATCACCCCGAGAGTAAGGTAATAACCTCTCTGTAGATATACTGTATATATATGTAGGTGTAACTTTCTTACAACAGTTTGTATACCTAGTATCAAACAAGAATAAAGCCAATTATTTGGTGATAAGAAGAATGATAGTTCAGAAATATTTTATTTGAATGAAAAGGAGATACCAGGGTACTACAATGTTCCTTCTATAATAAAACAATAGTACTTTTTCTTTGTAGCGTGGGTTTTTTTACCTTCAATTACCTTCATTTAAGACAATACAAAAGTGCCAGGATAGTAAAGGTGATGCACAAAGTGTCTATCTTGTACTGCAATACCAAATAATTTGTTTGCATGCCTCTACCATTTTATGTGGGTGCCTATAGCATTACTCAGGTCCGTGTGGTCATTTTGGTGCCAATTCTTTGCAATATACTCTCATCAGAACTTCTCAATAGAATTGGATCATTTCTACACTGAATCAGATAGTGGTTTGCATAGGAACAGGGACATTATTTTCTCAAGCACAACTTCTAGTATATTGTTTTTTTATGTTGTCAGATTTATTCAGTGGTACATAGTGTACCAGAACTGTGTAATTACTTGCCAAAGCCATCAGAGGAGAGAGAGTTTGATGTGATAGAGAAAGGTCAGTATTCTCAAGTCAAAGGTTTTATATTTCAAACGATCATTTAATGAAAGTACAAGAAAAAGAAGGGAACACTTCATGGTAATGTTTATATTTTCATCAGATAAAATCAAGAAAAGGAGAAAATAATGTGATTCATTAATATATGAATGTGTAAGTCAATCTACATTTCCCTTCATCTTCTTGGAAATGTCAACATGTGTTAATACATTTACTTGTTGCAGGCTGCATGGATGAATTAAGGGATGAACTAAAACAAAACAAAATATTGATCTGGACAGTTTTAGATTTGAAATGTTTTGAGAAATGATAATATTATTATCATCATATTTCTGATTTACAGATGAGAGGTTTGTGTATCCAAACATGAAGCGATTTATAGTACAACTCTATAGCCCCACATCCTGGGAGGTAGTACCAAACACAAAGTGAGTACATAACAGCTGTTAAGTGCAACGTCCACGAAAGTAGTACTACAAAATTAGTAGAAAGTAGTATAAAAAATAAGTAGAAAGTAGTACCACAAAATTAGTAGAAAATAGTACCACAAAATAAGTAGAAAGTAGTACCACAAAATCTGTAGAAAGCAGTACCACAAAATTAGCAGAAAGTAGTACCACAAAATTAGTAGAAAGTAATACCACAAAATTAGCAGAAAGTAGTACCACAAAATTAGTAGAAAGTAATACCACAAAATTAGCAGAAAGTAGTACCACAAAATTAGTAGAAAGTAATACCACAAAATTAGCAGAAAGTAGTACCACAAAATAAGTAGAAAGTAGTACCACAAAATTAGCAGAAAGTAGTACCACAAAATAAGTAGAAAGTAATACCACAAAATTAGTAGAAAGTAATACCACAAAATAAGTAGAAAGTAGTACCACAAAATTAGCAGAAAGTAGTACCACAAAATTAGCAGAAAGTAGTACCACAAAATAAGTAGAAAGTAGTACCACAAAATAAGTAGAAAGTAGTACCACAAAATAAGTAGAAAGTAGTACCACAAAATAAGTAGAAAGTAGTATGACAAAATCTGTAGAAAGTAGTACCACAAAATTAGTAGAAAGTAGTATCAAAAAATAAGTAGAAAGTAGTACCACAAAATAAATAGAAAGTAGTACCACAAAATAAGTAGAAAGTAGTACCACAAAATTAGTAGAAAGTAGTACCACAAAATTAGTAGAATTCGTGCAGTTTATATTTTTCAGTTTTGAATTTTGAAAATGAGACCAATGAAGATATCATTATTAGGGATGTTCATTACTATTCAAATATTCATCAGATTCAGTATTTGAATATTGGTTGACATGTTAATTCCAACTTTCACTTTCAAAGGGCTGTCGTTACACACCTGACCCAGTGTACCGTACCAGCAACATTTACCAATACAGAACAGAACACTACCTACAGTGGCTTGCTGTTTTCAAAATAATAAACAAAACACATTACTAGGTCTCTAAAAAAGTTATTGTAAGAAATAACACCAATTTCTTTGCTTATGAACTCAGTTTTGAAGATGCAAAAATAATGTAAAAAGATGTCGCTGAAAATGGTAGGATGTTAAAACACCAATAAATCTCTCATATATCCAAATTTGGAAAAATTGAATTAATAAAACATGTAAAGTACTTAAAGGCTACGATTGTAGCCTGTGCTAGATGTAATAGACCCGAAGCAACGTGAATTTGAACAAAATGTGAACGCAAACTGATATTGAAATAATTAGCCATACCACGTATCTTTAAGAAATCAGCAAAAAGTTTCTCTCGTAACATGTCAGCTTGTTCATCGTTATTCATGAAGTACTCATCATTGATGTAAAAATCAAAATGTCTGCAGGAAGATAACATCAGATATATATTTTACCTACATTTCATCGCTACTGTCCATGAACATCCAACAAAAATGACCTCATTGAATGCTGATTAATCTGACAGACAAAACTTAAGACTGAAGTTCCTAATAGTATTATGGGTACAGATTTTGATCTGTGTTGCTCCATGTGCACAAGATGCAAAATTTACCTGGATATGGGCAACTTCAGGCCCTTAGGTGATAGGCTAATTAGTTTCATAATGAATAGTACAGTGATAGGCTAATTAGTTTCATAATGAATAGTACAGTGATAGGCTAATTAGTTTCATAATGAATAGTACAGTGATAGGCTAATTAGTTTCATAATGAATAGTACAGTGATAGGCTAATTAGTTTCATAATGAATAGTACAGTGATAGGCTAATTAGTTTCATAATGAATAGTACATGTGTACAACTTTGAACTGTAATAATACTTGATGATTTAGCAGACAAAATTTAATTTAGAATGAAAATTGGAAAATTCATAGAGAGCAAACAGATTGAATTTAGCAGTCTTCCTAACATTGATATCTTACAATGGTGAAAACCAATATCTCATTATGAAATGTGTGGTCTTATTATAAGGATTGAATTGGACCAATGGGAGCATGCCACCATCATGAAATGTGTGTCACTGAAGTCTGAGGGAACTCTAACCGGGTACAAGTCCTATGGAGTGATTGGGACCACAGTGTGTTATGGGGAGGAGGTGCAATGTAGAGGCAGGGTGAGTCGGTGTTTGAAAAATGTATTATCAAATGACCTTAATAGTGATGATTTCAGCAATTTGGAACTCATGGAAAATGAAAATATCTTCAAATATCAAATTAAAATGAAAATTTTAGGAAAGTGAAGGATAAAAAAAAATGTTCATTTTGATTAACAAAATGAAAGACAGTGTTTTGTTTCAAGATTGGATGGTATCCAAACCAACATTTATGTAACAGAAGGTCTGATTGGTTGTAGATATTGATTTATGACATCATAGAAGTTGTGCCAGAACCTGGTCAGCCTCTCACCAAGAACAAAATCAAGGTAGGAAGTATTTTTCAATCAGATACATGGAATGTCTTCATTTTTATCTTGGCGATCACAAAAGGAATGTTATTTTGTTAATTAATAAGTCTTTAGATGCAAAAATTCTGTATTTATTATAGGTCAGCTCATATTCTTCTATTCCATGGAATAATATTCATTATTAATCCTCTATTAACAAACCTTTTGATTGGCTAGGTTGTATATGCTAAGGAACAGAAAGGACCAATCACAGCTCTAGCTCATATATGTGGTCTTCTAGTCACTGCTATAGGACAAAAGGTAAGTCATTTTTACCCGTCCCAGCCCTGACATGTATGTGGTGCTCTGGCACTGCTATTGACAAGACAATAAGTTATCAAGGATTAGCTCCAGTTTTATCTCACATTTCTTCGGTACTGTATTTTTTAGACCGTAAGTTTCAATGAATTAGCTCCTTGTTAACTCATGTGTAACAATAGACTAGCTCCTGGTGTAAGTCATGTCTCTGGTACTGTATAGTAAAGACAGTAAATTACAGTGGATTAGATGAAAATTTGTTCATTGTCCTTGGTATATGATGATATGATATTATGATAAAGACTACTAACAGACTGAAAACACATCACAGATTTCATAAAATTTGAAAACCACTATTACATTTGCAATCAAATATTGTGACATCAAAAATGGATGAATTTTGTAAAGACTATGTTTATTTTCCTTATGTAAACTGTCTGACCAAACAAAAATTGGATGAACTGTGGGAGAACTCTACACTCACAATAACACTATACATCCTAATGCAGTCTACTTTCATTTCTTTCCAGCTCTACATCTGGCAGTTTAAGAATGATGACTTGGAGGGTGTGGCTTTCATTGACTCTTACATCTTCATCCACAATCTGGTTACTGTGAAAAATCTCATCATGGCCTCAGATCTCCTCAAGAACATCAACATTTACCGGTACCAGGAGGACTTTAAAGTCCTATCGCTGGTCAGCAGGGTAGGTACATAGGTCATAAGGTAAAGGTCAAACCAGTGTCAAGGTCAGTAATTTATACAGGGATTTAGTATCTTGTGTGTCATGTATATTGTAATAAAGTTTAATTGTCTGAAAAACCTTACAATATATAGTAGTTTTTGAAAGCTCCATAATTTACTGTATATAACATGAATTTATCCTAGCTAAATCACTTATCACTGGAAAGTACATGGTTACCACCCAATGTATGTAGGGAAGATCAATAATTCGATCAATTATCGCAAAATCTTTTGCTACTTTGTCATCCTTTTTTACACCGAAGATTATACCACTTCCAGAAAGTCTTGTGAATTAATTTCATGTTATATTTTGTAAACCTCATTTTAAATACCTTTAACACTGGTATTTGTGTATTGAAATGTCACATTCAAGTCCTCTGGTTGTGGTATAAGAACATCTATTCGATACATGTTACCAACATGAAGAAAAGGTTCGGAGAGCTTTTCTTTAAGATTGTATCAAAATTGAAAGACCTTTACAGTGTTTTCTTAGTTTTAAAAAAATTCATTTAAAAACAATTTGAATGAATCAATTTTTATTTCAGGATGTGAAGCCATCTGAAACCTATGCATCTCAATTCCTCATTGACAACAGCTTACTGTCTTTTGTGGGTAAGTCATTGTTGCTGTTGAAATGATCCATATTTATGATATTAAATATACCAAGGCCATCATATGAATAAGATAAATATTTCATTTAAAGTGAAAGAACAGAATAATATAATTTCATTGCTCCAGTGTATTTCATACAAAGAATCCAATCTGTATGACTTTGCCAAGTGCTGAAGTTTAAAAATCATATCCTTATTTTAGATAACTCTGTGTACCGCAAACTGTTGTGATTGATTATTTTTCACCAACATATTCATTTATTAAAGATATACTCCTAATACTCCTTCATTGGGACCCACTCACCACACCATTATTAATGGCACATGTCTGGTTATGCAACATAAATTGATAACATTTTTAGAATAATATTCCAAATTTTTTATTCCTTGTTTTGACACATACTTTACATATTGTTTAGCCCACAGTACTTTTGTTATTTTATTTTTGTGACTGTATTTGCTATTCCATGTATAGATGCTTTTAAAGTCCATCTCTGTTTACAGTGACAGACAGTCTGAAGAATATCATTGTTTATACCTATCAACCTGAAGGTAAGATACTCAAGATTTTACGTAATATTTATAACTTCATAATGTCACATTTTCTATCTAAAATAAAATACCAGGGGTTACTCTTCACTGTATCAGGGAAGGATTTTGTCTATTTTCTTGTGTAATATTCTTCGACATTTTTTGCTGCCAAAACAGTAATCTGCTGTAGCTGGAAATTATTCTGTTAATATTGTGACATTTTTACAGCAAAATCAGCAATTTTTTGTAATAGAAAAGAATTCTTTTAATAATTTATGATTTTTTAACAGCCAGAGAAAGTCATGGAGGACATAGGTTGGTGAGAAAAGCCGAATTCAATGCAGGATCACATATCAACACAATGTTCCGTGTACGATGTCGCATCCGCGAACCGGGAACAGACAGGAGGATGACCGGAGCTGTAGAAAAAAGAAACATTACCTATTTTGGTAAGTACAGGATGTTTGACAGTCCATGTATCTTTGACTGAATTCAGATTACTCTAAATAAATGTCTGTCATATGATACTTAATTTTCTTCTACTAAAACCATAGTATAGATTATGACTATCACTTTTTTGTTAAAACTGTCTGAATGATGCTTGTGTTAGAATTATTATTCTGTTCTTTCAGCCACTTTGGATGGTGGTTTGGGCTTCCTGTTGCCTGTGTCGGAGAAGGTGTACAGACGTTTGTTCATGTTACAGAACGCCCTTACAACACAACTACCTCACCTGGCTGGCTTAAATCCCCGTGCTTACAGGTCAGTAGGACAAATGATTCTGGCAGTATAACAAAAAGTACATTCATCTTGAGGTTCTTTACTCAATAATTCATTAAAGTTTGCTATTTGTTTTGAATTTTCACTGATGATTTTAAATTCTAGAACCTTTCAAATATGTGTATCATAAAATGAAAATTAAGACAAGCATTAGACTGCAGGGTTTTGAGTCCTTTTTGGTGGTACAAAGGACAAGACAAGAACAATTGTGTCATGTTTCTTACCGTTTGAACAATTCGGGAAAAAGGTTCTTCACATTGGTTATGTATATCACTGTCTCCTACTGCCTTCTCAGAACATTAAAGCAGTCTTGTCCAGAACTGAGAAATCTACAGAAAAACATCCTTGATGGAGAACTTCTATGGAAGTATCCAAACCTGAGTGTCATGGAAAAAACAGAAATTGCTAAAAGAATTGGAACATCAGCAGATCAGGTAAATAAATTAAAACTTATATACTTTACACCTTTGAAGTCAATGACAAGGAAGTATCTGATACATTGTATTAGCTAGATGTGATATGCCTAAGATTGGGGATATTTTGTTTCAGTTTGTTGAAAATCTCTATTTTTTATTAATATATATATATGGAATAGATATTCACATCCAGTTCTATACACAATGTCATCAATTCAAAATGTTCAGAAAAAAACATTTTGCAAAAAAAAAAAAAAAATATTTTGCAAACCAAAATTTGCCAAGATTGAAAATTGTTCTTTCTCTAGGTTTATTTTTTAATTTGATAAGGAGCTCAGTACCTTCAGGAATAAGGAAGATACAACGGTTTTCCTACCAACTTGATCATGTGTGGAAATGCATAGCTGAGAGTTAAGGGTGAATATGTTAGCCATATATATCATCTGTATCTCGAAACTTTAACCTATCTTTTGATATCGCCATATCAAGGAAAACTGCATACTGTATATAATGTTTGTTTTTAGGTAATTCAATTCTGTTATGTGATTCAAGGATTGATTATTTTTATTTCCTTATAGATCTTAGAAGACTTGATGGAAACAGACAGATTGACAGCACATTTTTAAAGACTGGACATGCAGTGATGTTGACATATGAGCATGAGAAAGACCACATATTTTTGTGATGACTTTTTTCCTAGATTGAAAGTAATGTTATGCATCAAACTAGTTACCAAAATTTGGAAAATAGAAAACATGGTTTGTGTCATTCACAAAAAGGTACAAAAATGAATAATTAAATCTCTTGTCAGATCTAAGAAATCTTTAAAGTTTGAAAAATTTCAAACTTAATAACATTTCAAATAGTTATAAAATTGGTTGTTATGACAACCATTTCATTACTCTTCATTTCCAGATTTCATTTATTTGTTCTGCATTGTTATCCATCAATCGTTCATCATTTCAAAGTGAGTGAGAGAATGTGTATGAATGTTAAATGATTTAGATTGAACAAAATATTCTGTCATATACTTTCCTATATAAGAATTAGTATTTGTCAAAAGTGCTTTTTTTTCTTTTTGAAAAATATGAACTTGCTATTTTTTCAATAAAAGAATTGTTTATGAACAATGCTGTTCATAAGTACTTTGTGGTATTCCTATTACACTTTGTTATAGTCAAGTAAGGAAAGGTGAGAAGGTAAGGAAATAAATTATAAAAATCTTAAGTCAGATACACACTGTTCCTGTGTTGATAGAACAGGAAGAGGTTTTTTAAGTAATAGGAAAGAAACATTAGTATGAGGTATGACTGAATTTTCTGTATGTAAATAAAGTGGGAGTTTCATCAGTCACAGATTGATATTTTTATAATGTTATATTGTGCATGTACATAAAAATAAAAATGTCAAATTTGTTTTCAGTTTTGTTTTCAATTCTCACTACTTACCTTGTCCAGTCAAAGGTGATACCTTCTTCAGTCACTCTGTCACAGGTGATGCCTTCTCCAGTCACTCTGTCACAGATGATACCTTCTCCAGTCATTCTGTCACAGGTGATACCTTCTCCAGTCACTGTATCACAGGTGATACCTTCTCCAGTCACTCTGTCACAGGTGATACCTTCTCCAGTCACTGTATCACAGGTGATACCTTCTCCAGTCACTCTGTCACAGGTGATACCTTCTCCAGTCACTCTGTCACAGGTGATACCTTCTCCAGTCACTGTATCACAGGTGATACCTTCTCCAGTCACTCTGTCACAGGTAATCCAGTCTCCTTTTCCAGTCACTCTGTCACAGGTGATACCTTCTCCAGTCACTGTATCACAGGTGATACCTTCTCCAGTCACTCTGTCACAGGTGATACCTTCTCCAGTCACTCTGTCACAGGTGATACCTTCTCCAGTCACTCTGTCACAGGTGATACCTTCTCCAGTCACTGTATCACAGGTGATACCTTCTCCAGTCACTCTGTCACAGGTGATACCATTCTTCAGTCACTCTGTCACAGGTGATACCTTCTCCAGTCACTGTATCACAGGTGATACCTTCTCCAATCACTCTGTCACAGGTAATACCTTTTCCAGTCACTCTGTCACAGGTGATACCTTGTCCAGTCACTCTGTCACAGGTGATACCTTCTCCAGTCACTCTGTCACAGGTGATACCTTCTCCAGTCACTGTATCACAGGTGATACCTTCTCCAGTCACACTGTCACAGGTGATACCTTCTCCAGTCACTCTGTCACAGGTGATACCTTCACCAGTCACTCTGTCACAGGTAATACCATTCTCCAGTCACTCTGTCACAGTTGATACCTTCTCCAGTCACTCTGTCACAGGTGATACCTTCTCCAGTCACTCTGTCACAGGTGATACCTTCTCCAGTCACTGTATCACAGGTGATACCTTCTCCAGTCACAGTATCACAGGTGATACCTTGTTCAGTCACTCTGTCACAGGTGATACCTTGTCCAGTCACTCTGTCACAGGTGATACCTTCTCCAGTCACTCTGTCACAGGTGATACCTTCTCCAGTCACTGTATCACAGGTGATACCTTCTCCAGTCACTCTGTCACAGGTGATACCATTCTCCAGTCACTCTGTCACAGTTGATACCTTCTCCAGTCACTCTGTCACAGGTGATACCTTCTCCAGTCACTCTGTCACAGGTGATACCTTCTCCAGTCACTGTATCACAGGTGATACCTTCTCCAGTCACTCTGTCACAGGTGATACCTTCTCCAGTCACACTGTCACAGGTGATACCTTCTCCAGTCACTGTATCACAGGTGATACCTTCTCCAGTCACTCTGTCACAGGTGATACCTTGTCCAGTCACTCTGTCACAGGTGATACCTTATCCAGTCACTCTGTCACAGGTGATACCTTCTCCAGTCACTGTATCACAGGTGATACCTTCTCCAGTCACTCTGTCACAGGTGATACCTTCTCCAGTCACTCTGTCACAGGTGATACCTTCTCCAGTCACTCTGTCACAGGTGATACCTTCTCCAGTCACTCTGTCACAGGTGATACCTTCTCCAGTCACTCTGTCACAGGTGATACCTTCTCCAGTCACTCTGTCACAGGTGATACCTTCTCCAGTCACTCTGTCACAGGTGATACCTTCTCCAGTCACTCTGTCACAGGTGATACCTTCTCCAGTCACTGTATCACAGGTGATACCTTCTCCAGTCACTCTGTCACAGGTGATACCTTGTCCAGTCACTGTATCACAGGTGATACCTTCTCCAGTCAACTGCCACAGGTGATACCTTCTCCAGTCACAGGTGATACCTTCTCCAGTCACTCTGTCACAGGTAATACCATTCTCCAGTAACTGTGTCACAGGTGATACCTTCTCCAGTCACTCTGTCATAGGTGATACCATTCTCCAGTCACTCTGTCACAGGTGATACCTTCTCCAGTCACTCTGTCACAGGTGATACTTTCTCCAGTCACTGTATCACAGGTGATACCTTCTCCAGTCACTCTGTCACAGGTGATACCTTCTCCACACAGGTGATACCTTCTCCAGTCTGTGTCACAGGTGATAGTCACTCTGTCACAGGTGATACCTTGTCCAGTCACTGTATCACAGGTGATACCTTCTCCAGTCACACTGTCACAGGTGATACCTTCACCAGTCACTCTGTCACAGGTAATACCATTCTCCAGTCACTCTGTCACAGTTGATACCTTCTCCAGTCACTCTGTCACAGGTGATACCTTCTCCAGTCACTCTGTCACAGGTGATACCTTCTCCAGTCACTCTGTCACAGGTGATACCTTCTCCAGTCACTCTGTCACAGGTGATGCCTTGTCCAGTCACACTGTCACAAGTGATACCTAGTCCTACTACATATGTATACTATATGATTCTCTAATTGACTATATACAGAATACCTGAGATACTCGATCATCTGTATAACTATTAGTGAAATCCAAATAGAAAATAGCTGTCAATGTTTTGTTCCTCTGGATCTCTTTATTTATTAAGAGAAGACATAAAAACTTTCCTGTTAGCCATGGCCTTATACTCATTTAGTAATACAATGTAACAAAGTTGTATATAATGGTATACATAAATCCTTACATCAGCAGAAAAACCTACATTGTTTTACATCTTATATATGAGGAAATGGATGCATTGGTGTGATTCCTCATATAAGAGATATACACAAGCATATAGTGTCACAGTAGTTTATGTACAGGGTTCAACTATCAGTTTACCTTCAACTTTAATCTACTTTGCAATAACCAAGCAGCCCAGTGCCCTGTTGTTGGGCCTGTAGCATGTTAGAATGAAGAACTACCAAATTTGTTTAAATCAGTGACATATACCCTCTATAAAGGTTACGAGGCAAATGTGTTAAAATCTCTGAAAAACATCTTTTCTTTATATTACCCAACAGGTCCAGGGTCATGATATTAATCCAGTGGCATTCTGTGCTGAAGTGCTACCAAGTTTGCTTAAATGCTTCATTGAAAGACTACCAGTTGGTTCAAATCAGTTACCTTGACACACTTAAAAGGTCACTGGGGTGCATTGTTTTGAAATTTTTTTCAAAGACTTCACTTCAAAACTCATCAAGATGTATTCAGTAATGATGAAGTAATCCAAATAATGAACTAATCATCAATGAAACATGTACAATAATAACTATCGAACAAACTTGCGTTTCGTTTTTCCGCTAGTATATGTTTAGATGCATACCTCATCGCCAGAACACATACATTTGTCTATGAGATGATGCTCAGCAACAGGAGGCGTGACGGAGATGGAAAACCTGTCAACCAACCAAGACTAGGGTCACGTGGATCAAATGTGTTAATTTTTTTAATATCCTCATCTTAATAACTAAGGGACCAAGGATCTTGATATAGGGCCAGTAGCATTCTTTGGTGATGGGTTACAAAGTTTCATCAAGTGAATCACCCAGACCACTTTAAAGTTTACATGGAGTGAAATTGAAAAGACAAAACTACATCTACTGATTAATCAGAACTCCGAAGGTTATGATAATTGGTTAGCAGCATGCTGGAATGAGGTTTACAAAATTAAATCAGTGCAAATGAATGACTTTGATCCATATTCAAGGCCACAGATGTCACTTGTGTCAAAATCTATAACGTCATATTTTTGTTAGCTTTATAGAGAACTAGTGCATGTCAAGGGAGGTAACTCGATCTACCTTGAAAAACGCCAGTACATAATTTTCCTAGTATATATCATATTGGTTTGAAAATACTTGCTAATTAGCGTTATTTTAAAGATCACAACCTCAAGGAGGAGATTCTTATAGGCAGAGATATTCACGACTTTAAGATCACAACCTTCAGGAGGAGATTCTTATAGGGAGAGATATTCACGACTTTAAGATCACAACCTTCAGGAGGAGATTCTTATAGGGAGAGATATTCACGACTTTAAGATCACAACCTTCGGGAGGTGATTCTTATAGGCAGAGATATTCACGACTTTAAGATCACAACCTTCAGGAGGAGATTCTTATAGGGAGAGATATTCACGACTTTAAGATCACAACCTTCAGGAGGAGATTCTTATAGGCAGAGATATTCACGACTTTAAGATCACAACCTTCAGGAGGTGATTCTTATAGGGAGAGATTCTTTATCACAAGGGAGAGATATAGGCAGAGATATTCACGACTTTAAGATCACAACCTTCAGGAGGAGATTCTTATAGGGAGAGATATTCACGACTTTAAGATCACAACCTTCCAGAGTAGATTCTTATAGGGAGAGATATTCACGACTTTAAGATCACAACCTTCAAGAGGAGATTCTTATAGGGAGGGATATTCACGACTTTAAGACCACAACCTTCAGGAGGTGATTCTTATAGGCAGAGATATTCACGACTTTAAGATCACAACCTTCAAGAGGAGATTCTTATAGGGAGGGATATTCACGACTTTAAGACCACAACCTTCAGGAGGTGATTCTTATAGGCAGAGATATTTACGACTTTAAGATCACAACCTTCAAGAGGAGATTCTTATAGGCAAAGATATTCACGACTTTAAGATCACAA